TTCACCCTGTGTGCCTCTTCATTGTACAATACATAGAATATCTAAACAAGAAACCTATAATTGTATCAGACTACTTGAAATAAAGTCAAAATCTTAATACAACCCATAAATGTTTGCACTTTGCTATATCAGCTTCATTACAGCAAGGTTTGAGCCACACGTGTTCAAACAGGATCTTGTGGTAGTTATGAGCTTGGCTTTATCTTCACTCTCAAGCGTATCCACTACTGTATATGCACACAAGAAAGCTGCAGCACCTGCACCGCAAATCCTCCAATTTTAATTAATGTTGCTCAATACTGACTGAGAAACGACAAAAGAACAGAATTAACAGTTGTGAAGCTTTATTGAGTTCAAATCGCAGAAATTTTAATGCGTATGTGAATCTCTTGAACCACATTCACAAAGTATTTTAAAAAACTGACATAAAAAAAAAAAGAAAAAAAAAAGGAAATGCAGTGGGCATTTTATTAGTATCAAATTATAAACTTATTAACGTGTTCAGGCCCTCAACACCCAATAGGGTGGAGATTAAGAAAACTCAGCAGGTGGAATAAGGCCATGATTTAAAAACAAATCTAAATCCATTACACAAAAATGAAAGAAAAAGAAAAAAAATCCAGACAAATAACTAGCTGAAGTCTTTGCAGATTCACATATCAGGGCAGTGAATGAAACGTGTACAAATACCTCATCACAAGCGTAATCACAGCAACAAACGGGAGCTCGCATTACCAAAACATACTCGTCAACATTTTGGAGAATCAATGATGTGACCAAGAGCCACAGAGTGCTGGATGGAATCAAAACATGGCAGACAGCTTCGACTGTAACGGGCATCATCACCAACTGAGTATTTCGTACATATGAAATGCCTGTACAAAGATGGGATACATAAACCTCACAATAACAAAACTTCCTTCTACTAAGACGCATCCAAAATTAAGATTTACAAATAATAAACACAAAAGTGTCATTAATGACAGTCTTTATTTCAAAAGAAGCCATATAAAAAGGCAATGCATCCCCTTCACTAAAACAAAGAAGGAAAAAAAAAAAGAAAGGAAAAAGACTTAGACCCACACCGAGCAACTACAAGTCTATGTTACAACATACAGGTGTACCCATCTCAGTGTTTGCTGTCTGCTGAGGCGGAGCGGGAACGAGAGCGGGACTGGGAGCGAGAGCGAGAGCGGGAACGGGAGCGGGGAGACTGTTTGTCCTGAGCCGGTGCAGGTGAACGCGAGCGAGATCTGGAGCGGGACTTGGAGCGAGACTTGGAGCGGGACGGGGATCTGGCTGAGGCCTTGCCCCCTCCTGATGTCTTCTTCTCGGGAGTCCGGCTGGCGGATCTGGATCGGCTCCTGGAGCGGTTGCGGCTCCTGGAGCGACTCTTTGAGCGGGAGTAGCTGCGGGAGCGAGAGCGGCTCTTGCTGTGACTGCGGGGAGAGAGAGAGAGCGCAATTACAACACAATGTTTCTGCTTTTCAAAATAAAATATTAAATCTCTTTTAACAGTTTGTCAAACTGACTTGAAACCTTGCAAATTCCTGCACAATTTACAGATACAACCTAAAATAAAACAAAAAAAACAACTTACTTTCTGCTGTCCTCAAACATCTTCAGCTTGCGACCATTCAGTTCTGTCCCATCAAGCTTGGATATGGCATTCTTCATGTCACTGCGGGATGCAAACTCAACCACCCTGCATGAAAAGAGAAATTAGTGGACAAACAGTTCACATTAGGAATACAGAAAGGCTCAACTCAAAAAACAGCAACTCACCCTTCGTTTTTGGTGGGTCTGTGAGCGTCCACAAAGGTAACTTCCCCTGCTTTCCTCATCAGGTCCTTCAGG